CCTAGGACTGAGAAGTACTGGGTTCTTGTCTAGACTCTGCTGTCAAATTGCTGTTTGGCCTTGGGCAAACCCCTGTCCCTCTCTGAGCCTCAGTTTTTTAAATGTAGAACAGAGGCTTTGGACTAGTTGATGGCTAAGGTTGCTTTTATCTCTGATTCATTCTAATATTCTAAGCAGTTCCTGAAACATTCCTTTTTTTGAAGCCAGAGTTTTCCTCAATATATTTTAACAATACTATCTCCAGTTTATGAGCTGCTGCTGTGACAGCATAGGCTGAGCCCACATACTGAAGCATGCTGTCCCCAAATTTAATTTTCTTGGGGCGTCATCACTGTATAGGATAAAATGAGCTATTTTGTTCATCACAACTGCAGCCTTTGCTGAAATGGAGGTTATAAGATAATGACTTAAAGGCTAACTCATTAATGCTCAAGGATGAGTGAGGTAACGTGCCAACAGACCAAATTGGTGCCCAAATGTTTTCATCTAGAGACCTGTATCTCTTTCCCATGTTGTGATATATTAATGAAGATGTCTTTTTCCATTGTCACTGCCTGTAGACATTTGAATAACATAGATGCTATGCCTTCTGGGCACCCAGCCCCGTCCACTATCAATTTCTCAAACTCTGAGGAGCTCTCAGAGGTTTGGAGCAAAATTGTGATGGTGCCATAAAGTGCCTAATTTATAAGGATTCAAATGATGGCATCCGTGCAGTCCCTTCTTTTTTTCTCATAGGTGGTTATTAGTGAGCACTGCACCATCCTTAACTACTTGATGGGGGCAATGGAGTAAATTAGTCCTCCAAATTGTGAAGGCTGTGGATTTATGCCTAGCTGAAAGCATTTCTGTCCCTGCAGTGTTGAAGAGGGTGACCTTTCTGACGTTAATTTGTTTCTCCATCTGTGCCATGCATTTCGAGAGGACGTGAGGAACAATCTTGATGCCACTCACTCTATGTGTGTTTCCCCTTTTTGTATTGCTGGAGACTTGATTTGGGTGTGCCTCTGCTCTTTGTTCAAATTCTCTCTCTTGGTATCTGCTAATATCCCAGTCCCTTTACTGATACAAATAAAATTGTATGTTCTTTTGCTAGTCACAATGTAAAATTGGATGGTTTGAAAAAGAAACAAATTTTGAGGCATAGGAATTTCACTAATCTGAATAATAGCATTTGAAAAATTGACCTATGCAGTTAGTTTTTATAAATTTTTGAGAAGATTTTTTATATATCCTGATGCATTGGAGATTGAAGAAGAAAGATCTATTCCCAACAGTCTCCCGAGATCTCTTTACCTGTGTTAATTTAATTCAAATTTGGTAGAGATTGAACAGAGTAAGTCGTTGGATGCATTGATACAAATTCTAACTTTATGTAATTACATTTTTGAAACTTGATATTTTCTGGTAAAGTCAGGCCCTCTGCAAAGAACCTTCAATATCAACATGTTTATTAAAACCCAATGCTAAATGTCACACCTACATTATTCATTTAATTCTCAGACAACTGCTAAAATGAGTACTGCATCATTTCCCCATTTTATAGAGGAAGCCGCTGAGGCTCAGAGAATTCAACTGACTTTACTAAGGTCACACGGCTAAGAAATTATAAAGCTTGTCTTTGAACTCAGTTCTCTTTTGCTCTAACTCCAGTGGCCACTACAGATATTTGTCTAAGGATATTGTTTTTGAAAATGCCTTGAATTGAGGCTGAAACTAAGAGGGTTTGCTTTCATCTTCCTTCTTGAGCATCCTTTTGATGTCATGGTCCCTTCAGGCCAGTGCAATGGCATGCTGAAGGGAGAAAGGAAAGACCCCTTGGAGCAAGAGAGGTCTCTTGGCACGTTGGTCCCTGTGAGGAGCCTCCTTTTGTGTTCAGTTTGGAAAGAAAGGCCTGAGGACAAGTACTCAAATCTCAAGAACCTGTTATGTGCCACTCTCATAGTGTGGAAGCCTGCTTACTCGTCCTCCCTCCCCACTCTGCCCATCTGCTTCTTCACTGGGCACACTGGCCTTCCCAACTCTGCTTCTACCGCGTATTCTACTGGTGCCTTAAGAGGGTGGAAGGCAAGCAAGACAGTGTCAATTTTGCTGGCAGAACTGCAGCATATGATTGCTCTTAAGTTTAGCCTGTATCTTTGAGCAGGAGGCAATGACAAACGGTTTATTCTAAGGCCTTTGATTTCCTTCGGAATTGTAAGCATCTAGGCTGACTCATCTCTCAAAGGCTTTTCTCTCTCTCTTTTTTTGGCTGGTGTTGTTTTGAGGTTTTCTTGTTTGTTCTTACCTTATTCTGGGGGGGAGGAGGGATTGATTTTCAGCTTGATTTTTGAGTGAAAAAGCCAGCTATACTCTTTGGATGACCAGATCTGGTAAGCCTCAGCAAGAAGAAATAGCTGCAACTCCAAAACAGGTATAAAAATATCTGGATTGGGGCAAGGGGAGGGGGGAGAGATGTTAGAAAAATTAAGCCAGAGCTAGGCTGTGTGTGTCAGGATGAGACCCTTGGCTAATAGGTTCCAAACCTGCTATAGTGAATGGGGGATTGCTAGAGGCTTAGTCTGGGACTGTGGTTAGGTGCTGTGCATGCCCCTTCGGTTAAAAAGGTCATTTTGTGGATGCAATTTGGTGGTTGGGCTTAGGGATTCACTTTGGGTCTAGGGGATGATGCTTTGCAGTTGAAGGAGCTTTAAAAGAACTCCATGCTAAGGATTTTCCTTTTAGCTCAGTTCAAGAGCCATAGAAAGACTCCTCATCCTTTCTCATACTGCATTTCAGTTATCTGGCAAGCATGTATTTCTGACATGTGTGACTTCGGCCATTAAGGAAAGTGGGCAAAAGAGAATTTTGGAAACGAAAGAAGGGTGGGATTTTTTGTTTTTGGACAGAGCTCATGTATATAGATTATTGAATGATAAACTCTTACCTACCTTTTCTCTCTCAAAGCCACATTACATGATCTTTAGAATTTAAGCTTTCCCCCCAATAATATACAGAATATTATCATAAAATTCCATGGGAAAGGGGAGCTCAGAAAAGTGGCATGTAACCACTTCCCTTCTTGTCAAAAGGTTTAGTTCCCCATTATCTTCTCTCTCAGGAACCAGCATCCACATACTCACCCAAACCATGAACTTCAGAGCTATCCTATAAATTTTTTCCTTTTCATTACAATAAAAAAATTCCCCCAAGCCCTGTCAATTCTACCCATAAAATGCATCCCCTGTTCCAGCCCCAGTGACACTGACTTGTGTCAGCATCCCTTGCCTCTTGGCTGATCTTCCTACTTCATGCTGTCTACCTAAACCAGGCTTTTCATTGCTCTCTGTGATTTTTCCAAGCTGCAGCTCTGACCGTCACTCCCTACTTAAAACCCTGCAGTAGTTCCCTATTACTTTCAGGAGAAAGTACAGCTTCTTAACATGGCTTACAGGGCCATTCATGACCTCATCCCTGACTATCCAGATTTATCTCCTTCCAGCCCTTTTATATAGCTTTTAGAATATAATAACCTCTCTCCCATCTCCTTGCCTTTGCACAAGCTGTTCTCTCTTTCTGGACACTCCCCCCACCTTGTCTCCAGGCCAACTTATATCTTTCCTCCTTTCTGCTCTCACAGTACTTTGTTTATATTTTGGCCAATTGACTTATCACAAGATTTTAGACATTGTTACTAACCTGTATCTCTCCTTCACTGCACTGTTAAATCCTTTATGAAATGAGTAGTATTATCTTGCTCATATTTAAATCTTTAGTGCCAGGCACAAAGTGGGCAGTTGATACAGGTTTCTTTTTTTTAATGAATGAATGAAAGAAAAAATGAATAATAAAGGAAAGAATGCTATGTGGGGTCCAGGGAGATTCCCACTGGGGGATCTTGTGCAGCCTGGGAGCAGTATGAGATAGTGGGCACCATGGAGAAGGGACACATAAGACAGGCTTGCCAGTACACTAAGACAAAGTTCTCTCTGATCACCAATCCTGTATAGGAGTCTCACTAGAAATAGCCTGGAAATGATGTTTGTTTGTTTTGGTACAAACTGATGCTTTTTCATGGAGAAATAATATAATCAAATTGCACTGTTTTTGGTAAATAAATAGAAGGCAAACAAAATCCTACCACTTAATACAGATACTGTTAGCATTTGGGTGCATTTCTTTCAGTCTTTTATTTTTATGCATGCTTCTCTTCATATAGTTCTAATCATAATTAAAATAATTCTGTATTTTGTATTTGCTGTTTGAAAGCTCTTGGTAAACATCACTTTAATGATTGCATAATTTTCCATACTCTGGCCATTTCATAATTTATATAACTAGTCTCATTGCTGGACTAGCTTTTTTTCCTTAATTTTTTACTGTTACGGCTCATGAACATATCGTTTTACCTGTCTGTAGGAAGATTTCATTAGGATAGATTCCTAGAAGGGGAATTACTGGGCCAAAGGGCCTGGGGATGATTTTTGGCTCCAGACTCATGTGTCCAGTTTGCTTTCTGGAAGAGTTGTAAAAATTTACAGGACTCCTAACCTGGATGGGCATGCCCATTTCACTCAATATAGACAGCATTATTATCGTTTAAAAATAAAAATTAATTCCATCAATGTTCTAATTGTTTAATGGAAAATGTTACCTTATTCTTGTCTCAATGTACAATTTTTAATTGTGAGTAAAGTTGTTTGGTTATTTATTTATTTCCTAATTAGGTTTTCTCTTTTCTGGACTGTCGATTCAGGGCTGAGTTTTTTAAGTTGGATTTTTTAAAAAAGCAACCAGAGGCAGCTCTGCTTGAGGGTGAAGCCGCCTCCCAGTTTTCCCTCCCCCTCTACCCCCCCCCCCCATAGTTCCCTCCACCAGGTCCAGTGACAATTGGATGATGCAGCCTTGATAATCATCCGATTCCAGAATGGGTGGCTGCATTCCTCTTCTGAAGGCAGCAAGGACACTGTGCCCCAGAATCATGCCCCCTTTGCTGTTGTTGTCTGCCTTCATTTTTTTAGTGAACGTCCTGGGAGGAGCCCCAGGACACAACCCGGACCGCAGGACCAAGATGATATCAATACACAGTCTTTCGGAGCTGGAACGTCTGAAGCTGCAAGAGACTGCTTACCACGAACTAGTGGCCAGACATTTCCTCTCTGAATTCAAACCTGATAGAGGTGAGCAGTACCCCGGAGTGTGGCGTCCTCGCCTTGGGGCGAGTGGACCCCCCCGGACGGGACTCGACAAGTTGGGGGTCCAGGAGAGTGGGAGCGGCTTGTGCCTGGTCTCGGACCTGGTCGGTTCTCCAGGCGCTTGGAGAACTGAGGAAGTGGGAGTTGAAGGGTGTTTGTTGAATTGCTGAACAAGTGAAGATTAGTTGAGTTGGGTCGGGTAAGACAAACAGGCAGATGTCAGGGACAGACAGGTAGACAGAGGACAGGTGAAGAGACAGATGCCCCAGGTGCGATGCGAGAACAACTCAGAGGGAGACGGAGGCACAGAGAGACACTCTGAGAGCGGACTGGGACAGACAGAGACAGCGCGGTTGAGAGATTGAAAGTAAAGAGAGCGAGACAGTGGGAGAGAGGGACACGCGCCAATCCCTGCGAAGAGCGGGAGGGCCCTGCGGGCGAGGGGAGCAGAGGCGGGAGGTGCGCTGTGAGCGCTGCCCACCTCAGCTGGCTGCAGGGGAGTGAGCGGGAGGAAGCACTGGACGGGATTTGAGCGTGCCAGGGGTCTCAGGAGTGTAGGCGCAGATTCTGCAGCTGAGGGGAGGAGGGAGGGAGTCGCGTGGGCCGAGGGGCTCCCCTGCAGTAATGAAAAGTGCAAGGGGCGGCAGGTTCTCTAGGCGCGCATAGCGGGCACAGCCTGAGATGCGTGAAGCAAAGGGCGAGGAGATCCCGCGATCAGCTGCCGCTGTGGGGTCGGAGCGCCGGGACTGGGGTGTTGCTCTTACTCCCGCCGCAGCGCGGGGAGCCGCTGGCATGCCGAGTGCGAGCGCGCCCGCAGTAACTTGGCCACCCCTAATCGCTGTGTCGCCGCAGGCCTAGCCCCTCCCCTTGCCTGTTGCACTGAGCGCCTCAGAAACCCAGAATTTGTTTTAAGTGAGTGTTAAGCTACTACCAGTGCGTAACAAGATGCGCAGTGTGCACGTGGTGCCTTAGATCCTCTGGTTTGGTTAAATTCTTGGAGTCTCGTATGTGGTAGATAATATCGGTCCCTTTATCAAATGTAGAAACTGAGGCTGAGAGAAAGCAAAACACTTTTCTCGCGCTGGACAGAGCTGTTTGCGCCTCCCCCCCCCCCCCCCCCCCCTCCAATTCTTGCGGACCAATGCAGTGTGATGTTTTAGTCTCTTATCAAATCCTATTTGTGTGAGTGTGCCTGTCTTTTCTTTTTCTCTTCCCATAGCTCTACCTATTGACCGTCCAAACACCTTGGAGAAGTGGTTTCTGATTCTGAGAGGACAACAGAGGGGTGAGGGGCTCTCATACTTTCCTTAGGAAAGAAATAGAATGCGGCATCCTTCCTGCACTGTGCCCCTGGCTACTGGAGGCTGGGCAGTACCCACTGCCCCTGGGAGTAAGCCCCCTCCCCCTCTCAGAAATCCCTTAGAGGGTGATTTCAGGAAATGGCGCACTAGCTGCAGGCGTGTGGGGCGGTCCCATCAGATCTGCCTAAGCCTTCCCAGTGGTCCACCCTGGACACATCACCCAAAGAAATTGCCCTCATTGCTTCAAGGTGGTCACCTCCTGGCAGGACTTAAGGCAGGGACCTTGAGCTCCTTTGGGATAGTTGAGTGGAGATGAGTCCTTCCGCCAAACCACTGTAGGGTCTTTTTGGCTCACTCCCCAGGGAAGGCCTCCGCGGGTCTGGAGGGGTGGGGTTGGCTGCCGGCGGTTGCTTGGAGGAGTGCTACAGCCCCTGCAGTTCCTCCTGATTTAAACGCTGCGGAGCGTTGACGTTTCTGGTTCTTTTTCTCCCTGGCTTCCCAGTCATATCACTGAAGACATTTGGCATTCGTCTGGAGGAGGTGTTGGTGAATGAGCTTACCCGCCGCAAGCATCTTGAACTAAGAGCCGAGATGCAGATTGAAGAATCCACTGGTCAGGCTTCGGGCCGTCGTCGGGGAAACGTGGTGCAAAGGATGTTTGGCCGCATTAGGCGCTTTTTCAGTCGCAGACGGGATGAGCCCTCCTTGCCCCGGGAGTTCACTCGCCGTGGGCGTCGAGTGAGTTAAATCCTCCAGGTTTCAGGCAGGGGCCATTCCCGAGGTGTCTATGGATGTGGGGAGAGAAGGTCAAGGCCTGTGTCCTCAGAAGGAGGGGGAGGTGAACAGAATATGTTGGTGGGGTGTAATTGGCTTGCCATGGAAGGAATGTCTTCCGTTATGAATGTGTCGCAGTCCTCAGGAAGTCCAAAGAGACCTTCCTACTCCCACATTTTAAGATAGTCTGGGTATCTTCACAGGGTGCAGTATCTGTGGATAGCTTGGCTGAACTGGAGGATGGGGCCCTGCTGCTGCAGACCTTGCAGCTTTCCAAGATTTCCTTTCCAATTGGCCAGCGACTTCTTGGATCCAAAAGGAAAATGAGCCTCAACCCAATTGCTAAACAAATCCCCCAAGTTGTTGAGGTTTGCTGCAACTTCATTGAGAAACATGGTAAGGGGGCCGAAAATGATGGTTAAATCAAGGTAAGAGGCAATTAAAGGGAAAAAACTGTGTTCTAGAAATGGAGAGAGAAAAGAGGCCTTGGGATGAAGGGCTTGGAACATTCCCCTGCCACCAGTTGGGGTGGGATGCAGTGGGGGAAGAGAAGAAAAATGCCATGGGAAAGGGGACCAGAGATCCATAGCATCCCTTGGTCTTTTCTTTCAGGCTTAAGCACAGTGGGGATTTTCACCCTGGAATATTCTGAGGAGAGAGTGCGTGAGGTAAATTGGCTGTGTTTACACTTTTGTTCCTCGAGTGAAAAGCAGGTAGAGGTGAGGGCTCTCCCATAGACCTGAGGGGAGTGTCATACCTGATGGGGGGAGCAAGGTCTTCTTTCTTGCCCCGTAGGGACACCATATTGTCAGCTACCTCCACTGAGGCCTGAGACTTATTGAAAGAATGTCCAGGAGGCCACTGGTGGTGGTCAGGGGTAGACAGTCCATGTATTCTCTCCCCTTTTCTAGCTCCGTGAAGAATTTGATCAAGGTTTGGATATAGTGCTGGATGACACTCAGAATGTGCATGATGTGGCTGCGCTTCTCAAGGAGTTTTTCCGTGACATGAAGGACTCTCTGCTGCCAGATGATCTGTACATGTCCTTCCTCTTGACAGCAAGTGAGTCTTCTGCCCTCCCTTGTCAGGCAAGGAAAGGAAATAGTACAGGGGATGTGAGGGTCTAGGGACAGAGCCCAAGCTGCAGGACCCCAAGAAACTAAGACATAATGAACACCAGAAGATGAAAACACCTCTCCAAATTACTTTCCTTGTATCTCTTAATATTCCATTATAAGTCTGTTGTTTGGAAAGTTCTCTAGAGCTTCTTGAAGCTGTGTGTGACCTCTTAGGGCAAAGATGAACCTAGTTTCTGTAGAGGGGTTCTGATTTTGATGGGAACAGTTCTTGCTTTTAGGCTCCTGAGATCAAATGCTTTGAGAATGAACAGAGACAAGATGCCTGGGTCCTTTCTCCATAGCCTTTGGCAATTTTCAAGCAGAATCACCTCTCTTTTGGTATCAGGCTGCTGCCAAGACTAGTTCCCTGCCTGAGCCAGCCCCTGTTTTCCTTTTCCAGCTCTGAAGCCGCAGGATCAGCTTTCTGCCCTGCAATTGCTGGTTTACCTGATGCCACCTTGCCACAGTGACACTCTGGAGCGTCTGCTGAAGGCTCTGCATAAAATCACTGAGAACTGCGAAGATTCCATTGGCTTTGATGGACAGTTGGTAAAAAGCTCTGGGAAGGGTAATGAGAGCCATAGTAGGGGCATGTGTGAGAGTATATGAGACAGAGACAGAAGGAAAAGGAAACAAGAACAAACAGAGACACTTCTATTTGTACAACTCCCATTACTACCTCAGAGTGGATCACTTTCTGCTTTCCTTCACCTAGGTTTCAGGCAACCGTATGACTTCCACCAATTTAGCCTTGGTGTTTGGATCTGCCCTTCTGAAGAAGGGGAGATTTGCCAAAAGGGAGTCCAGGAAAACAAGACTGGGGATTGACCACTATGTTGCATCTGTCAATGTGGTCCGTGCCATGATTGATAATTGGGATATCCTCTTCCAGGTAGGTGGAAGTTTTGGACACACTTATTTCACAGCTCTCTCTCCTGTTCACAAGGCAAGGAAGAGTTGTATGTGCATCCCTGAGGGTAGCCAAAGCAGGCGGTCACAAAATCTCCCAGTCTAGAAATTCTTCCCACAATTAGCTGGTCATGGTGCCTTCAGTCCTAGGTACCTGATAGAGATGAGTATAAATTTTAAAATGTTGTATAAGAAAGCTAACATTGTTAATTTTACCTTCAGGTGCCTCCCCATATTCAGAGGCAGGTTGCTAAGCGTGTGTGGAAATCCAGTCCTGAAGCCCTTGATTTTATCAGACGTAGGAATTTGAGGAAGATCCAGTGAGTGTTTTCTTCGTTTGTTTGTGCTTAGCCTTGAGGAGAATCTCCTATGGGAGTTTCCAACCCCAGACCATCTTTATGTTAGTCAACCCTAGTATACAAACTGACTTGCTTTTCAAAATTCATTCCCATTCAGGAGTGCGCGGATAAAGATGGAAGAGGATGCTTTACTTTCTGATCCAGTAGAAAGCTCTGCTGAAGCCCGGGCTGCTGTCCTTGCTCAAAGCAAGCCTTTTGATGAAGGTCAGTTCCCTGCTGGAGGTCAGGCCCTTGCTGAAGGTCAGGCCCTTGCTGAAGGTCAGTCCCTTGGTGAAGGTCAGGCCCTTCCTGAAGGCCAGGTCCTTGCTGAAGATGAGCCCCTTGAGGAAGATGAGTCCTCTGAGGAAGATGTGTCAGTCAATGAAGAGCTAGTATTTGAATATCTCAATCAAGGAGTAGTCTTTGGGGAAGTCCAAGGTCTCGAGATCCCAAATGACCTTGAGATTCAAGGCCCACATCTTGAAGGCATACCAGAGCTTGATGAAGAAGATGATGATGATGACGATGACGATGATGATGATACCTTGAATTTTGATGATCTTCCTCCCCTTGAGGACATTCTAGACCCTGATGATGAAATTCCAGAACTCATTGAAATCCAAGACTTTGAGGAAATACCATACTTTGATATGGTCCCAGATCCTGAAGAAGCCCCACATGTGCAAGAAATCCCCAACCCTGGAGAAAACCCAAATCCTGACCTTGAAGAAGGACCAGATTTTGAAGACGACCAAAATCTTGACCTTGCAGAAGTTCCCTATCTTGATGTAATTCCGAACAATGAAGGAGCCTCAGATACAGATGAAGTCCCAGATAATGGAGAAGCCCAAGACACTGATGAAATCCCAGACCATGCAGATGCCTCAGATAGTGATGAAAACCCAGAGTCTGAAGAAGACCCCAATCTTGAAGAGGTCCCAGCTCTTGAAATCCCAAATGATGAAACCTCAAATGCTGCAGAAATTCCAGACCACGAAGAAGTCCCAGCAGTCAATGGGATTTCAGACTCTGACGAAGACCTTGATTTTGAAGAAGTCCCAGCTCTTCATGTGGTCCCAAGCCCTGAAGAAGCCTCAAGTGGTCATGAAATCCCAAATCATGAAGAATCCCCAGAAGTTAATGGACTCTCAGACTCTGAAGATCTCAATCTCGAGGAAGTCCCAGCTCTTGATGAAGTCCCAAATAATGAAGAAACCTCAGAGACTGAAGAAATTCCCAATCATGAAGAAACTCCAGAGGTCAATGGAATTGCAGGCTCTGAAGAAGACTCCAATCCCGAAGAGGTCCCAGCTCTCCATGTGATAACGAGTCCTGAAGATGTCTCTGATTTTGATGAAATTCAAGACCAGGAAGAATCCTCAGATGTGAGTGGAGTTCCAAACAATGAAGAAGCCTCAGATGCTGAAGAAATACCAGGACACGAAGAAGCCTCTGATGTCACTGGAATCCAAGACTCTGAAGAAAACCCCAATCGTGAAAAAAACTCAGTTTTTAATGTGGTTCCAGAACCAGAGGCTGCTGAAATTCACAACAAAATTCCAGATTCTCAGAAAGACCGCGCCAACACTTTTGAAGAAGATGAAGTTACCGATGTGGCTCCAGAGCCTGAAGAGGTCTCCATTCTCAATACAATTCCAGACCCTCAGCCAGACCTGGCCGTCAATCTTCAAGAAATCATGAATGTGGAAGCAGTCCCAATGCCTAATGATCTTGACTCTAAAGAAGTTCAGAATCCAAAGGCAATCCAGTTCCATAAAGAAGTTGCAGATGTTACATTTCTTGTAGATACCACTCTCCTTAAAAACAAGTCTCAGCCTGGCCGAGTCATGGACTACAAGTCCTCCCCAGAGTCATTGAGGACCGACACCTGCTTTCTCTCCTACATGAAGTGCTGTAAGCTTCTGGCTCCAGCTTTGTTACTCATTTGCTTAGTAAAATTAGTCAGGCTTGTTGTAGGGTGGTGGTTGTTGTTAGGAGGCTGCCTTCTTCCCCGCCTCCCTGTTGGTGTTGTCCATTTGCTCTAAGCATGGGGTGTCTGTCTTACTCTTTCTGTTCTCTAACTCAGCCATCCATACCCAGCTTCCACAGTGGGTCTATGTTCTACTGATAGGCTGCAGTTTTCTTACATGTCAAATGGGGATAATCATTCCTGCCCTACCTTCTTGCTTCATAGTGTATTCGAAGCTCAAAATTAGATCTTAGTCCTTTGGGTGCTGTGCAAAGTGTGGAGTCTAGAAGCATAAGGAGTTAACATTGTTACTATTTTCCAGGTTCCTCTGAGGAGCCAGCTGTGCCTCCCGGCACTGCCCGTTCCCATGACGATGAGGAAGGAGCGGGTAACCCCCCAATTCTGGAGCAAGACCGCCCATTGCTCCGTGTGCCCCGGGAGAAGGAGGCCAAAACTGGCATCGGCTACTTCTTTCCTTAGGTGTTTTTCCTTCTATAAGGTGCCGGACAGGGGAAAAGGGTGGGGGTAGACCTGAGATGTCACAGGAAACATTAAGAAGAGTCTTACAGGTAAAGATCTGAGGGTGAGAAGGAGTTCCACCTGATGCTCGGGTCAGGCTGAGAATTCCAAACACACAGCCAGCCCCTTCACTGGGGATACTTGGTTCCTTCAGTTGGTAAAAGCAGAGATGTTTCTGTGTCATGCCCAGGCTCCCTGGTGCTACCTTGCCTTTCTCTTTTACCCCTGATCCTGGCTTTCCCTCACTACTGCTCTTTCTTTAATTGATGTGACATTTGTGGTAAACACCTGTCCCAGAGAAGCTCACAAATCTCGAGGTGCTTTCCCTCCCCCACAGGGGATTGCATGTTTTTCCTGACTTTCCTACCCTCCTCCCGAGAGCTTAATTGGAAAGGCCCTCAAGAGGCATGCTAGAACGTTAGTTCAGCCTACTGACAGCTGACAATTAATGCTAACCCATGTCAAACCAACCCATAGCCATGTCCCTGCAGCAACCCCACCACCTCAGGATATTTTTTTCCCAAATTATTCAGGCCACTGGCATGTCAAACAGCCCCTCCCAAAATTCTGTGCAGTTTTGTTCAGGCCATGCCAACAGAAACATCTCAAGTGTAAGCCTAACTAGCTTTTCTAGGATCAAAATTTAGAGGAAAAATTTGATTTTATTACCTGGATCTGTTTTACAGACAGCTGGTGTTCACACCCCCTTGTCAGTGAAACAGTTAGTTAGGTACGGACACATAGTTCCAAGTAGTTAAAGTCACCTGATTACAAATGTTCTTATCTATTGTCTCTGTAGTTCCTCTATGCAGGACGGTACAAATTTGCGGGACATGCTCTGGTAACACAGATATGGGTTACGTATGACATCCAAAACTGTAGCTGATATTGATGGGTAACAACTGCTAAGGTCCATAGAATGAAGAACGTATTGTATTGAGGGATAGAAATTGATCACACAATGGGTAACAACCGCAGAACTCGAAGATTTGTGATTGTTAAAACTTCTCTGGCATTTAATCATTAATAAACATCTGTATTGTGACAGCAGCATATTCATGGCTTACTGTGTTTTTTTTTTTTTTTCATTTGAAATTTTGTTGGTGAGTTGGGAAGCTCTGACTAGAGCTGAAGGGAAAGGACAGGTGAGGAAGAGGAATAAAGGAGAAGTGGGTGATGTAGAATAAGGGGGAGGGATGACTTGGCATAAAGGGATGGAGTGAGTGGGATAAAGGGGAGGAGATGATGCGGAATAAAGAGGAAGGGGTGATGTGGAATAAGGGGATGGAGAGAAATGGAATAAAGGGGGGTGAAGTGGAATAAAGAGGAGGGGGTGGTGGAGAATAAAGGAGAGTAAAATGGAAGAAAGAGGAAGAGCTGTAATTGAATGAAGGGAATGGGAGGGTTACAGTAGAATAAATGGTTAAGGAGGGATGAAGGAGAAGTAGGGGAAAGGAATGAGGCTTAAGAGGAGGGCCTTTAAAGGGGCGAAGGAGAGGAATAATAGGAGAGATCACTAGGTGTTCTTAACTGAGATATTCCCCCCTGGACTGGCGAAAAATGAAAACCTAGAAACATCTGGAGGCATATGATTTCCAAGGGTAAGAGAACTTGCTGCTGTTTTTTTTTTTTTTTTTTTTTTTTGAGGGAGATTAGCCCTGAGCTAACTACTGCCAATCCTCCTCTTTTTGCTGAGGAAGACTCGCCCTGAGCTAACATCCATGCCCATCTTCCTCTACTTTATATGTGGGACGCCTACCACAGCATGGCTTTTGCCAAGCGGTGCCATGTCTGCACCCAGGATCTGAACCGGCAAACCCAGGGCCGCCGAGAAGTGGAACGTGCAAACTTAACCGCTGCGCCACTGGGCTGGCCCCCGTGCTGCTGTTTGATTGACAGGACCTTCAGCTTTTCTTGAAAGCTAAGACTTTATGACATGCTTGGAAATTTCCCATGTCAGGGACAGGGCCCCAGAAAGTGGAATGGTGTTTATTATTTATTTTTGCACACTTTGCTTTAGGATATTTCCTTTCATAGAGCTTTACGGACAGCAGAAATGTAACATTGGTCCCTCCTATAATAATAATGATTTTGTAATAATAATTATAATGATACTTAACACATCTTAACACATCTTAACACATTAGGTTCTTCCAAAGTGTCTGGCCCCGTGTTTAAAGCTTTACATGCATCATTTTATTTAATATTCACAATAACTCTGTGAGATACATACTCCTTTCATCCTCATTTTTTTTCTTGAGGAAAATAAGATAAAGAGAGGTCAAATAACCTGACCAAATTATACATCTTGTTGATGGAAAACAGCCAGTCTCCAAAGTTAGAGTGTTTAACCACTAGGTTATACTGGCTCATCCATTTAGGATTCTTCCTGTGACACAAAGATGCATTATGATGTCTGTGGTCATTTTTTTAGGTAAGATTTGTACTTTTAACAAACAACCTTCAGATTCCTTTCTTATAGGGCTTTTCTCTCCAGATGGGACGAGGTGTTATACAATAACTGTGATATCTCAGGCAGACTTTAGCAGTTGTATCTATGGTGCACAGATATTATAGCCAGTGGAAAATGTAGAGCCCATCCATTCCAACTCTCTTGTTATGTGAATGGTCACACTACGGCTTATATTGGGAAAGGACTTGCCTGAGGTCAGAGATTTGCATTACGATTCAGACAGATCTTCTGACTGCCACTCTTGGGCTTTATGGGACCAAAAGTAAAATGTGCCCCTGGAGAAATTTACCCCTGTTTTTCCCACTCAGCTGAGAAACCAGCGAATAAACAAGATAACAAAAAGGAAAGTAGATTGTTTCAAAACATTCCCTGAAACTAGGTTTTCTCCTCGTCTTATTGCTTTCCTTACATTTCTCCCCAGTGCTGACTCCTAACCAAGGGACTGAGACTGAGAGTGGTGAGTAGATGTGGGTATTATCCTCATTCTTCCCCATACTCTAAAGACCAGCTCAACAGGCTTCCTTGACACTCCAAGTCCTGTCCTCATCTTAGGTGACCTCGACAATATCCATGTGGAAGACCCATTCCACATACCCTGGCCTCATCTCCCTGTCTTTTAACTTCTTAGCACTTCAACTGCCGCCAGCCACTTGATGTCACTGAGCATGACTTCACTTCTAAAAGACTCAACTTCAATATCCTATTGTGACTCAAATCTCCTAACAATGACTGGATCCCACGTTATCTGCTGTTTGACCTCATTGAGGTGTCCAGTGCCTCAAGCCTTTCCTTTTCTCTTCACTTCTTTCCTTATCCAGCCAGGACCTCAGGGCTTATTGATTTAGCACTGATGGCATCTTCATCCCCTTTCCCTCCAAATACCATGTCTGCACTATTTAGTCTCAGTTTTGAGTCCCTCCAAACATTTGATTTCTCCAATCTCATAATGACCACCACGAGAGAAAGAAGTAGCACTCCAAATATTGGTCTTCTAAATAGTTTCCAACCTCTGCTGGGCCCTCAGACCACTCAGCAATCCTTTTACAAGTCCCAGGTCATCTTCTCTAATTTTCTCCTCCCATTCAGATTCCATTCTACACCATTCCACTCAAGTAACAACATCTTTCTCTCTAACTCACATCAAATGTATCCCCTCTTTGGCTTTATTTAGGTTTATTTTTCTCTTGTAGTTTCTTTAGGTAGAAACTTATATTATTGATTTTCTCTTTTCTAACTAAGCATTTAATGTTTCAACAGTGTACCACAAGTTTTGATATGTTGTATTTTCATTCAATTCAGTATATATTTTTTATTTTCCTTGAGACTTTCTCATTGACCCATGGATTATTTAGAAGGTTAGTGTAGTTTCCAAGTGTTTCAAGATTGTTTTTATCTTTCTGTTATTGATTTGTAGTGCCTGGTTCACCTGTTGTAGGTAGGACTTCCATTTGATGCAGAGGAAGAATGAGCCTACTGGGTCTACCTTCTGTTGCTAAAACTAAACTGGTGTTCAGGAAATGACAGACCTGGGTCATCTTTTTCTGTTGGATGAGAGGTCATAACATGTCTTGATGCTGTGCTGTTTCTCTAGCCCTGGGATCTCAAAACAGTACACCTTTCTCTTCCATCTTTCAGAATTCTCCTTTGGTTTTCTCTGAAATTATTGCCAGGGTTTATAGTTGTACTTGGTTGGGAGAAGCTTGGGGAAAAAAGTCTATGTGGTCTTGTCCTGAGCAGAAGTCTCCTGGTTATTTTTTAAAAAATATATTTAGATATAATTTCCATATCATACAGTCTATAACGTGAGTGCACAATTCAATATTTTTAGTGTATTCACATAGTTGTTCAACCATTGTCATAATCTAATTTAATAATATTTTCATCACTCCAAAACATAATCACATAACAATTAGCAGTCACTTTCTATCCTCCCTATCCCCTAAACCTAGGCAACCACCAAATTACTTTCTATCTCTACAGACTTTCTTATTCTGGAAATTTCATATGAATGGAATCATGCAATATGTGATCTTTTGCGACTGGCTTCTTTCATGTAGCATAATGTAGTCAAGATTCATTCATGTTATAGCATTATTTTTTAAAAGATTGGCACCTGAGCTAACAACTGTTGCCAATCTTCTTTTTTTTCTTTCCTGCTTTTTCTCCCCAAATCCCCCCAGTACATAGTTGCATATTTTTTTAAGTTGTGGGTCCTTCTAGTTGTCGCATGTGGGACCCCACCTCAGCATGGCCCGATGGGCGGTGCCATGTCTGCACCCAGGATCCTAACTGGTGAAACCCTGGGCCACCAAAGCAGAGTGCACAAACTTAACCACTGGATCACAGGGCTGGCCCTATAGCATGTTTTTAATGCCAAATAATATTTCATTGTATAGATATAATATATTTAATTTGCATTTTCCTATTAAATAATGAGGTTGAACATTTTTCATGTTTCCTCATCCTTTGGTTGTGTACCTGTCCAAATCTTCGGCCTATTTTTAATTGAGATTTTTGATTGAATGTTAAACATTCTTTATACATTCTGATTAATTTTTTCCAGTCTGTGACCTGTCTTTCATTCTTTTAATGAAATCTTTTGAAAAGCAGGAGTTTTTAATTTTAATGAAGTTTAGTTTATCATGTTAAAAAGTTGTAGGATCTTGATTTTGGCGTCATTTCTAAGAATTCTTTGCCTACATTAAGATCACTAAGCATTTCTCCCAAACTCTGCACTAGAGTGAGGAGAAAAGTGGCCTAGGGCACAAAATTTAAGGAGGATCTCACTCTCAAGGTTGTGCAAGTGCCTGAGAGGGGGGCCATCCTTAAATTTTGTGCACCCTAGGCTCCTCACTTGCCTCACTTTATTTCTGGCCCTGTTTTCTGCTATGTTTTTTCCAAGAAGTTTTATTTATCCAATCATCAGTTGAGGGTCAAATGGGTTGTTTCCACTTTTTCTTATTATAAATAATGCTGCTATGAAATTCATGTACAAATTTTTGTGTGAAGGTATGTTTTCATTTCTCTTAGGTATATACCTATGAGTGGAATTTCTCTTAGGTATATACCTATGAATGGAATTATATGTTAACTCAATTTTTAACATTTTTGAGAAAGTGTCAAATAGTTTTTTAAAGGGACTGCACCATTTTACATTCCCACCAATGATGCATGAGATTTCCAACTTCTTTATATCCTTGCCAACAATTTTTATTACCTATTTTTTTGATTACAGCCCTCCTAGTAACGTGAATGTTTTCTCATTGTGGTTTTGATTTGCATTTCTCTAAAGACTAGTGACACTAATCAATGTGATAGACCATATTAGAACACTAAAAATAAAAAATTATATTTTTAGTTTTTAAATTTCTCTCTACAATTTATTTTTGAGTTGATTTTATATAGTGTGTGAGGTATGAAGTTTTTTTCTTCCACACGTATATCCACATTTTCTAGCACCATTTATTGAAGAGATTATAATTTCTCCATTTAATTGCCTTTACAGATTTGTCAAAAATCAGTTGATCACTCATTTTGTGTATGTTTCTGCATTTCCTCTCTATTTGATGGATCTATTCATCT